ACATACATACATACATACATACATACATACATACATACATACGAACATATATACATACATACATACATACATACATACATACATACATACATACATACATACATACATACATACATACATACATACACATATACGTACATACATACATACATACATACATACATACATACTTACACACATACATACATACATACATACATACATACATATCCATACCTGTGTATGTATAAGTATATATATATATATACCGATATAATGAACTTCGGGTTTCGGGCTTAGGGTTTCATACTGAAAAGAAGGCTTGTGTGGCTGTTTTGAACATTGTTCACAGGAGCTTGGTTTTTTGAATAGTTCAGGCTTGCCTCCAACCGCTTGCCCAAGCAAAGCTTTCCAATCCAGCGACCGTCAATGGCCTCTCGGCAATGTTCGCCAGCTGCCTCCTTAAACATGCAAACAGCATGTTCGGGTTTCGGGTAAAATGTTTTACATGTGTATATTTATATGTATACGATGCTTATAGAATCACAGTAAAAAATGCAAAGGTAAAACAATATACAAGAGTAAAGCAATACAAAAGTAAACACAACCACACAAAAGGAAATCATCGAAGACCCTCCAAGCTGCCGAGGGGAAGGAGAGGAAAGCACTGCAGTGTGTCTGCTCTGGCCCCGTAGAACCGTGGGGCTTCCTGTGCAACGGTCTCACAAAACGAAACATCGACTTGTAAAAGTGTATCCCTCAACACTAAACAAACCCTAAAACCCAAACCCTAAACTCTATATGTCTATATGTGTATATCAAAAAACTCTCACGAAAACAAAAATGGAGCTAGGTATATCCCTATATAACCCCTAAACCCTATAAACTGTATATGCATAAACAAAACCCTTACATTGGCTCGCATGGAAAGCCTTAAGCCCGAACCCTTTACCCTTAAGCACAAGTCCTCACGATCTTGATATCAAGAAGGTTCGTGACCCCGATCGCCTCGAGCTCATCTCTGATGTCCTGAGGCACAGGAAAAGCACAAAAGAGAAACGATATAGGATATGTGTCTTTAATCAATCGCCTTGCCTTCTTCGTCGCTTGGTTGATGATGTTCTTAACGTATATCCGGCTAGGCTCCGCCATTGCCGCGAGCTCTAGCAAAAATTGGTTTAGGGTT